CCCCCCCCTCCACTGCATAGACAACAATCTAAGATAAACATAGCAAACGGGTCAGTGCTATTGAGGAAACCAGAGGGCACACAGTGATCTAATGAGAATATGTCAATGCATAAATAATGAAATGAGTAGAAAGGGGAAATTGTGCATGACCGAAACATGTGTGTTTTACAAATGAGCATTTATTTTAGATGACTTTTCTTAAAGTGACTCTAATGCTAAAATCAAACTAAGAATAAAAGATTTCCCGGCAAAGAAGATAGTAAATAATTACCACTTCTTCTGCCCACGCCGCCAAATGCCATTATAATAAACAGAAAGACACTCCGGAAACCGACACTTCCAGGAATGGTAATCTTCTGGTCCTTTGACGCACTCAGTGGTTCCTCCCGCCAATGCTAAAAGTGACACGAAACTAAGGTTAACAGATTTAAAAAAATGCAATCTGGGGACACCCTACTGACTACGCCCACTTGCAATCACACCCATAAAACCACCCCCCATTTGTATTCCTCCCCCCCCCCCCCACACACACACACAATTTTAACATGCCCTGAAACGATTGGTCTCAGACTACGACATGGTGAATCATGCGTGTGGCCAACAGTGGAAGCGACTACTGTACTATGGGTCAAGCATGTGTAACGCACAGAGCACAGTGATCAGGAGTGTGTAATGCACAGACTTCAGGGGTCAAGAGTGCATAAGGCACAGAGAGTCAGGAGGGTGTAACACGGAACGTAGGGATCAAGGGTGCATGAAGCAGGAATAAGGAGTAAGTAACATACAGAGTGCAAGGGTCAGGAGTAGGTAACACATGGAATAAAGAGGTCAGGAGCAAGAAACACATGGAGTACAGGGGTCATGAGTAGGTAATGGAGTACAGGGGGTCATGAGTAGGTAACGCATGGAGTACAGGGGTTATGAGTAGGTAACGCATGGAGTACAGGGGTCATGAGTAGGTAACGCATTAAGTACAGGGGTCATCAGTAGGTAACTCATGGAGTACTGGGGTCATGAGTAGGCAATGAATGGAGTACAGGGGCCATGAGTAGGTAAGGAATGGAGTACAGGGGTCATGAGTAGGTAAGGAATGGAGTACAGGGATCATGAATAGGTAATGAATGGAGTACAGAGGCCATGAGTAGGTAATGAATGGAGTACAGGGGTCATGAGTAGGTAATGAATGGAGTACAGAGGTCATGAGTAGGCAATGAATGGAGTACAGGGGTCATGAGTAGGGGACAGTAGCATGTAACGCAGGTTTCAGAGCTCAGTTGTAAGTAACGCAGGGTTCAGGGGGTCAGAAAAAAGTGATACAGTGTTCAGGGGTCAGTAGTAAGAGGCAACCATCACCGCATGTACAATACTGTCTCCTCTACCTAACTCCCGCTGCTCTGATTGTGTGCACCCCCTTCAGGCGGCAAAAAGGCTAGGAACACCACTGGGTATGGAGTTGAGAATCTGTTAACTGCAGCAGTGTAGGCTCAGGATTAGGTGTTCCCAGATCGGTACCCAAAAGATCTTACACAGTGTGGTGGTCTAGTGTACACAATCCAGACTTGATTGGTGAGCAGGATGTGCCCTGTTTTCCATTGACTGGTGTGTCCATTACAAGGAATTTGCAGCTCGCTTCCACCGATCACCGATCCCTAATCTGCCTTATTGACAAGTGTTTACTGTGTTGAGATGAGGCAGCTTCCTGTGAGTTGTAGAGCGAGCTCCAGTGTGAGCGAGTTTCATGCCAGACCAAATTGGCTGAGAAAAGTCACAGACAGCTGCCATGCTGCCTCTCCAATCCTTCTGCTGTGTTGGAGAAGAAGCAGCTGATGAATAATGGATAGTTTGTAGAACCTCAGTAAGAGAAGAGAGGCAGCCATTGAAGTATGCTGCTGTACGGGCAGCCCAGACTGATATCCTTCATAGAAAGAAAAACGCTGGTACCACAATGCTGGATTTACAATATAGAGATTAGAATATAATATTTTAATGAGTCAAAGTGAAATCAGCAGATGGAACCATTGAACTAGTGTACAGTAGAGTGCGCCTAACACAAAGTCTTGTCCCGATACCCCCACACACCAAGATCTTCCCCTTCCACCGCATCATGCTTTGACATGCCAGCTGATGCAGGGCAGAGAAAGCTATAAACTGAACTCCAGCCTTCCCTTCCAACTTGTACAGTTGTACCGGCCCCTCTCCTGGATTGACATTGCTTCTTCTGACTTCATTGCCCACTGTGAGCTTCTCACCATGTGCATCAGAAGCTGCAGCACGTCAGAGATAGAGCCCTCCTCATTTCCTGGCTGGAGGACATCAAAATGTATCTAGCCCTTTCCTCCCCAGCCTGACTTTCCTAGGCTGTACCTTTCATTGATTGGATTTCAGTTTATTCAATCATGGAGGCTCAGCATCACATGTGGACATTACCTAGGATGGCTTGTGTTCTAGCAAAGTTTGTGACTAGGTTGGAATGTGTGACCGGTCATGTGCTCACACACTTTAACGTAATCCCACCCAGTTTTTCGGCGGTGGAATGTGTGACCGCCGATAGGTCAAGAATCCCAACGCTTTCTCAGCTGTTCCAAGGCAGATCAGCATTGCAGAACGTATGTGCAGGAGAACCGATCTGCCCTGGAACAGCTGATGGGTCCTGAAATGTCACTTCTCTCCGACTTCGCGGAATGTGAGATTACACATTCCGCAAAGTTGCAGGTGCAGCGCGTGTCGGGATCCTCAGGCAGTTGCATGCCAGCTAAATTAGGACCCCACCTGGAGCTCCTCCCACTGGACCAGTGCTGACTGGCCGCTGCTCTCCCGCACCAAAGGTAAGTGAAAAAAAAAAAAAAAACATAGCGCAAACATCGGGGCATTTTGACAAGTACAAGTACTTGTCAAAATGCCCTGTTTTTTCCTCCCTCACCCTGCAGCGCAGTAAGGCGGCCGCCTGACTTGCCTTGCGGTAGCGCCGGGCCTGCATACACTTTACAACCATCGCAAGACCTTAGTCTTGCGATGGTTGTAAAGTAATTAAAAAAACGTATGATCTGCCCATCTTGGACAGGCAGATCGTACTATCGATCATCGCAAGCCCGCCCCCCTAAGGGGCGGGCTTCCGATGACCGCAATGCTGAACGGGCAGTGTGCGCACACCGGCCCGTTCGGCATTTGTCTCCCAAGCACCGTTCAAACTAGCTGAAAATCGTACGATTTTCGGCTGGTTTTCTAGCGTGCTCCTTAGACAAAAGACGTGCGACCGTACAGTAGAAACGGTCGCACGTCTTCGTTCACACTGCTCGATTCTCGTACGATCGCGGGATTTCCCGCGATTCTCGTATGAGAATCGAGCAGTGTATGGGCACCTTTATTCTACCTTCACTATTTATTGAGTTCATGGCCCAGAACACGCATGTAGCTGGTGCAATTTTGTCCGCTCCTGATATGCACATGCTTGTTCCAGGTCAGTGACTCACCAAGTAATAAAGAAAAGATAACAGCCCTGGAAAATTCCCCTTTAAAAACAAGCCAATGGATCTCTAAGGGTGGAAATGTGGAAGCTGCCATTACTAACTGATATCATGGCAATCTGATAGAGACACCTGAACTTTACACACTGGAGTAAAACAAGCACCTGCAGTATTCCATACTGGTTTGCTTTTTTTAAAAAAAAGGTGGCATGAGGTGTGCCTTGGTTCGCAATGACTGATGAAAAATACAGAAGATGATTGAGCACCAAGAACATAGTCCATCAGCTGCAGATGTAGGCAAAACCTTTACTGCCCTGGAATAATGCTTTTTGCTGCCATTTGTTTTGTTTTTTTATATTCTTTATTTATATAAGCATACCAACATAGTACAGAAGTGCGAAACAGTAGGACCTCATGGCCCTGCATAATGAAACATATACAGAAATTCAGCTTATACATCACACAGCCGAGCCCGGCATGTCCATTCCCTTCTGCTCATACATAGTGCAATAAAACCATCAATCTGTACTAGAGGTCAGCATGCATTTCCACCTTACTTTTCTCAACAATTAACCAAGAAACCTAACTTGGACCCCAAGCCAGGAGGACCATCCCTCATCTCGAGCTGATAGCCTTCCAACTACTCGGGTTCCGCTGGAGGCGAATTACAACAAGGACAGGAGAAACAGAAAGAAAACACAGAGACATACAAGGACGACAACAACAAAAAAAGGGGGGGGGGGGGGCGAAAGATCTCAGTGCCCGTGCCCTGGGTGCGATCGCCGCACCGCACTCAGCGCGCATTCCCCGGTACGAATATTATTTCTTACCCCACCACCGAAGCGCTACTCCAGGTGCTGCCATTTGTTTTTAACATAAAATAAAATTTTTACCTTCTTACATAATTTTTTTTTAAAATTTAGATCTCAGAGCCACTGATCTCCTCCAGCCTCTTTTCACTCACTTGCTGTATTTATGCATGTATTCCAGTATCTGTTGCAGATTGCTCTCAACCAACTTCCTGACATCAATGGACCATGCCTGAGTAATATGCCTCTTCATCAGGGAAGCATGAGACAACTATGGTGCACAGTTTAGGAGACAGTTGTCACCCCATACAAGAAAATAACCAAACAAGGACCTTTGTGATAGGATCACCAGGGATTTATTTAATGAAAGCAACTTTTGAACTCATATTAATTGATCTTTGTCAGCTGACTTTTTTTGCGCCAAATAGGTTTTGCATTCCCATAGTCGATGAGAA